AGGCTGGCCGACTTCAAAATGGCCACCACCCATCTTGAAAAGTTTGCCCCCTCACATGTACTAATGTGCCACACACAGGACGTTAATATCACCAACCATTTCCATTTTATTAGGGTGTATCCATATAAATGGCCCACCCTGTATACACACACACATATATACACTATAACTATACACAGTTCTGTCCAAACCGCTCACAAAAGTGGATCGTCATCCTATGTGCACTTTAAATATTGAAGCTTTTCCTTAAAATATGACCGCATAAAAATAGGTGGATCAAACGTGGCTTCTGAAATGAGCCTTCGTGTTATTTTTGTCTTGTATCTCTGCCATGCGAACCCTTTTTCTTTCTTATGGGGGAGTCATGAACACTCACCTGAACTGAGGCAGTTGTTTAGATGTTGATCTTCTGTGTCCTCATGAAAGAGTCGTCAAGAGTAGTCTGCTGCCCACTCCTGGGAAGGTTCTCCACCGTTCCTTGTTTTTTCCATTTGTAGATGAAGTCTCTCGCTGTGGTTCTCTGTCGTCTTTAGAAATTGCTTTATAATCTTTTCCAGACAGGTAGATCTCTTCTTCTGTTATATTTAATGGTAGCTTGCAAGCTGTGTGCATTACTGCCACCTGCTGGACTGAGATGTGATCTTTGGGGTGTATATACTGCATTTAAAAATAATAAACCTACATCCTTCTTGCTAGCGGTTTCATTCAGAAATTGTGTAACTGTTGAATGTGTTCCAGGCAGACCCAATACTTAATTTATTGTCATGTTGTTTTTAAATACTTTAATTGTTGTCTTTCTATACTGAATATTATCTGCGAGATCACATGTTGTACAGATTCTAGTTCTCTGCAATATAAACACATTGCATTTTGAGCTTTTCCTATTATAAACCACTGTGCACCTCTATGTGTGTTCTTTGGTAGTTCTCATCCAGGCAGGTCCTATTTAAGTGATTTGTTGATTGTGAACAGGTGTGGCAGTAATCAGGCCTGGATGTGGCTAGAGAAACTGAGCTCAGGTGTGATTCACCAGATTTGAGTTGTGTTTTAACAGGGTTTGGTTGGGTTTTGTTTTTCCTTTATAATGTTAAGTAATAAAATTGCATAATGTGTTTATGTTATGAATATTTAAATTTGTTTGATGAAACATTAGAAACATTAAAGTGTAACAAACATGCAAAAGAATAAATAAATCATATATATATATATATA